ACTTATAATCAAGGGAGAAGGGGAAGCAAATATGTTCTCCTTAATATGATGGCAGAAAGGAGAAGTGCCAAGCAAAAGGGGAAAAATCCCCTTATAAAACCACCAGCTATCATGAGAAATCACTCACTATCACAAGCACAGCAGCATGGGGATAATCACCCCCATGATTAAATTACCTCGCAGTGGGTCCCTCCCATGACATGTACGGATTATGGGAACTGCAATTCAAGAAGAAATTTGGGTGCGGACACAGCCAAACCATATCATTCACCCTAGCCCCTCCTAAATCTCATGTCCTCACATTTCAAGACACAATCATGCCCTTCCAATAGCCCCATTCCAGCATTAACTCAGAAGTCCAAGTCTAAAGTGGCTTTACAGGGTACAGCCTTCCTCCTGGCTGCTTTCACAGGTTGGCATTGAGTGTCTGCCACTTTTCCAGGTACACAGTGCAAGATGTCAGTGGATCTACCATTCTGGGGTCTGGGGTAAGGTGGCCCTCTTCTCACAACTCTACTAGGCAGTGTCCCAGTGGGGACTGTGTGTGGGGGCTCCAGCCCTGTATTGCCCTAGCAGAGGTTCTCCATGAGGGCTCCATACCTGCGCAAACTTCTACAGAAGTTCCCAAACCTCAATATTTTTTTTTAATTATTTATGTTTATTATACTTCAGGTTCTGGAGTACATGTGCAGATCATGCAGGCTTGTTGCATAGGTACACACATGGCGATGTGGTTTGCTGCCTCCATCCCCCATCACCTACATCTGGCATTTCTCCCCATATTATCCCTTCCCGACCTCCCTACCCCTGCTGTCTCTCCCTTGCCCCGCCCTGGAACAGACCCCAGTGTGTGATGCTCCCCTCCCTGAATCCATGTGTTCTCATTGTTCAACACCCCTCTATAAGTGAGAACATGTGGTGTTTTTCTGTTCTTGTGTCAGTTTGCTGAGAATGATGATTTCCAGATTCATCCATGTCCCTACAAAGGATACAAACTCATCGTTTTTTGTGGCTCCACAGTAGTCCATGGTGTATATGTGCCACATTTTCCTTGTCCAGTCTATTGTTGATGGGCATTTGGGTTGGTTCCAGGTCTTTGCTATTGTAAACAGTGCCGCTATCAACATATGTGTGCATGTGTCTTTATAATAGAGTGATTTATAATCCTTTGGGTATATACCCAGTAATAGGATTGCTGGGTCAAATGGAATTTCTGTTTCTAGGTCCTTGAGGAAGTACCACACTGTCTTCCACATTGGTTGAATTAATTTACACTCCCACCAACAGCGTAAAAGTGTTCCTATTTTTCCACATCCTCTCCAGCATGTCGTCTCCACATTTTTTAATGATAGCCATTCTAACCTCAGTTCTTCACTTCTGTGTACCTGCAGGCTCAATGCCATGTGGAAGCTGCCAAGGCTCAGGGCTTGCGCCCTCTAAAGCAATGGCCTGAACTGTATGTTGTCCCCTTTTTAGCCAATGCTGGAGTTATAGCAGTTGGGACAACAGAGTACCATGTCCCAAGGGTGCATAGAACAGCGGTGAGGGGGCCTTAGGTGCAGCCCAGGATACCATTTTTCCCTCTTAGGCCTCTGAGCTCGTGATTGGAGGGGCTGCCTAGAAAGTCTCTGACATGCCCTGGAGACATTTTCCCCATTGTTTTGTTGATTAACATTCGGCTCCTCTTTACTTCTGCAAATTTCTGCAGCTGGCTTGAATTTCTCTCCATTAAAATAGGTTTTTCTTTTCTATCACATCATCAGGCTACAAATTTTCCAAACTTTTACACTCTGCTTCCTCTTGAGCATTTTGCTGCTTAGAAGTTTCTCCTCCCAGGACCAGGTGCAGAGACTCATGCCTGTAATTCCAGCACTTTCGGAGGACAAGGAGGGTGGATCACAAGGTCAGGAGTTCGAGACCAGCCTGACCAACATGGTGAAACTCTGTCTCTACTAAAAATACAAAAATTAGCTGGATGTGGTGGCACACGCCTAGAATCCCAGCTACTCAGGAGGCTGAGGTAGAAGAATAGCTTGAACCCAGGAGGCAGGGGCTACAGTGAGCTGAGATCGTGCCACTGCACTCCAGCCTGGGCAACAGAGCAAGACTCTGTCAAAAAAGAAAAAAAAAGAAATTTCTTCCACCAGGTACCCTAAGTCATCTCTTTCAAGTTCAAAGTTCCATAGAACCCATAATTTATAAAGGAAAGAGGTTTAATTAACTCACAGTTCTGCATGGCTGGGGAGGCATCAGGAAACTTACAGTCATGGTGAAGGGGCAGCAAACATGTTCTTCACAAGGCGGCAGGAGAGAGAAGTGCTGAGCAAAGGGGAAAAAGCCCCTTATAAAACCAATAGATTTAATGAGAACTCACTATCATGAGAACAGCATGAGAGTAACTACCCCATGATTCAATTACGTCCCACTGGGTCCCTTCCATGATAAGGGGATTATGGGAACTACAATTCAAATGAAATTTGGGTGGGGACACAGCCAAACCATATCACCCTATATTCAAATTCACTGGTTCTTTCCTCAGCTATGTCCAGTCTACTGATAAGCTCATTGAAAGAATTCTTTATTTCTGATGAGGTGTTTTTAATTTCTAGCCTTCCATTTCAGTTTCTAAACCATTTTCCCCTTTCTGCTGAAATTCTCTATATATATTCATGCATGTTGTTCACTTTTTTCACTAGCTTTTTAAGCATATTAATTATAGCCCAATATATGAGTCATTTCTGAATCTGGTTCTGTTTTACCTCTTTTTTCTCCTCTCTGCTTTTTTGGGTGTCTTTTTTGATCAAATGATGGATATCATACACAGTTGAATAGTAAAGACTGAGGTAAATAATATTAATGTCCAAAAATAAACATGCTGCTTCTGTCCAGTCAGTAATGTGGGTGGTTGAGTCAATCCGGTCAGGAGTTGTGCTGAATTTGGGTTTTATTGTTGCTATTATTGCCCTCACTGTACCACAGGCTTTATTAAATTTCCTCTAGCAGGGGGCTGCTATTGCACTGTCTTAATATGGAGGCTAGAGTGCTGGGGAGTTTTTCTCAGTGCCCTTCACTTAGCTTTTAGCAGTGCTTGCATCCCTGTGTTACAGAGAGTTCTCTCCCCACACTCTTTTTCCTCCTCACTAGGTGACTGGTGTTGTTTGTCTCTGGTGCTTGGCTTGCAGTGGGGAAAAGGGGTTTTTCACACTCCTAGCCCTGCCTTGGTTTTAGGCAAGCCCTGTGCACCTGAACCTTAGATGTGGGGGTTTCTCAGTACTCCTGACATTTCCCCATTGTAGCCAAATCCTTCCTTTATGTGTGATGGGTCTTGAGTGAGAGAGGGTTTCCCAGTAGTAGCCAACTTCAACTTTCTGTTGGTTCAGGACACTGAGCCCTAGTGTTTCCTGCTCCTGTTGCTCCCCAGAGGGCAGAAGGTTTGTGCTCCTATCTCTTCTCCAGAAGCAGGGAGTCTTTGCCAGGACCCTGCTGGTGGTAATGCTTCCTGCCCTTACCCCAGTGGATAAGGTTTTCATCTGGGAGAAAGGTTTGGAGAGGTTAAGTGGAATTTCATGATTGTCCTCCAGTGACAGAACGTCACCTCCTAATATTCTTGTCATCTCCGGAAAAATATTTATTGCTCATGGAGAGAAATGCAGTGTTTCAATATAGCTTCTTTACAGATATTTACTAAGTATCTGTGATATAAACAGCACTTTAAATATTTAGTAAATTACTGCCTGCTTTTGTTTCTCTACCAGATACATCTGCAGGAAAATACATTGATCATTCAACAATCCACCTATTTCTTTTAGCTGCTTTCCACAGTGCCATCCAAAATTAAACCAAATCAAAATGAAGGTGGTTAGGTAAAAAAGCTGTCTTGCAAAGAGCAAGTGCACACCTCACCTGGGACTATAGAAAGGAATTGGATCAGGGGCTCTGCTGGGACTATAGGAAGGAATTTGATCAGGGGCTCTGCTGTTTCTCTAAAGATAAGCTTCACCCAAATAAAGATGGTTTATTTTTAAAAATCATCCCTCTGAAGAGTCCCTTACAAGGAAATTTCTCAACTTTTTAAAAGCCATACAAGATGTACACATGATCCCAGGCGCTTAAGGGCAGTTGGTTAAACCTTCCTTTGAGGGCAAGGAAGGCCTCGTCTATCCTACTGAGTTTTAGGAAAAATGAAGCTTATCTATTTTTAAAAGGATAATTTATGTTACTTTGGGTTCTCTAAGATATCTCAGCAAAAGACCAGAATTAGAGAAGACTGTCCTAGTTAAGTATGGAATACGGAATCAAATTAATGGGTTCCATGGCCTGTGGGGGGAATGTTCTTTGAAATATATATATTACTATATCTCCTAATTATCAGTATTAAGACCGTTCAAGTTATACATTAATTTAAAAATATATTACATCAAAAAACTTTTTTTTAAACATAAGCGAACTTTAAAACCTTAAAGGAACATTTTACAGCCCCTTTGTACTCTGAAATGTGGTGTCCGAGATTAGACATACAAGTCAGTGTTAAGCGGCCACATTTCCAATTTGTTATTGCTTGTTACCAAATGAAAGTAAAAAGGAAAACAGAAAGGTAAAATGAAGAAACTGGCTTTTATGCACTTATTCACAAAAAGGGCGTTTGCCGAAGGACCTTCCCATTCACAGGCTGTCACTCACAGGCGCTCGGAGAACTCAGCCTCCAAATCCGGCAGGTTACAGGTCAGCCAAGTTTTAAGAAATTCTCCAGGAGAGCGACCCCTTCCTTTCTGCAACTCCCACCCCTGCGCCGAGCGCGGCGGCACGCTGCCGAGAGGCCCCCGGCGGAAGATGAGGCCCTGGACGCCCCGCGGGGACGGGAGGCCAGGAGCCCGAGGCCGGGAGCGTGCCCCCCAGATCGCGCCACCGAAATCCCCTCCGGCCTGGGCAAGCCGAGCCCCGAGGCTGCGGGTGGCGGCAGGAGCAACTGACCAGACTCTCCCCCCGCCCCGGGGAGGCGGGGTCTCCGCCTTTCCCGCGTTCGGGCCTCACCGCCCCCTCCGCCTTCTCTGAGGCTCCGCGCCACTTCCGCTCCTTAAGGCCGAACCGGCCCCTTAGGGCTCGGGTCGCGCGGAGCTGACCCCTAACGAAATGCGGTCGCGCCAGGGGCGGTGGTGGCTGCTGCTCTGGCTGCCGCCCCTGGCCACACTGCCCGTGCGCGGGGAGGCGGCGACGGCGGCGGCGTTGTCAGGTAACCCGGCCCCGGCGGCGGCGCGCGCGTGCTCGCTCCCCGGCTTCGCGGCCTCCCCGAGGGCGCGCTCTCTGGTCCGGGCGGCGCCGCGAGGCCCCGGGAGCCGGGCGGGGCGCTCTCTTCTCGCTTCGGGGTCACCTCGCGGACGCGGCCCACACCCGGGCAGGCCCCGCCCGCCCTTCTGCCTTCTTGGGCCTCTTTGGTCTCTCTCCTGGCAGTTGGACATTTTGTATTTTAGGACTAGAAGCAACCGCGCAATCCCGTCGCCCAATTCTCTCGTTTTACAGAAGCAGCCGAAACTCAGAGAGGTTTTGGTTTGCCCAAGATCACACAGCTTGTCACGAGCGCAGCTGACCCTAGTCTCCAGACTGTCAGCACACGGCCTTTTGTACAGTACATCAATGCGTGTTGAAATCCTTGTTATTTCACTATCTAGTATTCCTTTGGTCGCAAGAGTAGAGAAGGTAAGAGCTTCAGCTTCAGAATCCGACGAAATTCTCCTGCCCCTGACTGGCTGTTGTGACCCTGAGCGAGTAACGTAACTGGTCGCACGTGAGCCGCAGATAATGAGGCCTCGCAAGGTTCTGTGGTGTTTGTGTGCACAATGCCTGGCGCACAGGAAGCAGGAACTGGTAGGCGCTGCTGGCGTTAGGGGCTTGCCACGGAGTGGGCTCAGGATCCTGGCACACTGGGGAAGGATCTGGAAGGACACCTGGGGAAGTCGTAAACCTGGAGTTCCAACTCCGGACCTGCTGCTAACTTACATGAGCTTCACAATTTTTCTTTTTTTTCCCTCATAAAATTTTTTGAAAGATTTCCTGGATGCACTCTCTACCAACTTCTCTTCACTGCTTTGGCCACCCTGGTTGCAAGGGAGGCTGCCAGGTGTATTCTTCTAGCTGGGCATGGGCCTCCCTCCAGTTACATCGCCGTTTTTTTATCTAAGGATGAGTAAGAGACTGGATGTTGATGAGGTCATTGTCATATTCTGCCACAGCTACCAACTGAGGGAATCTTGCAGTGAGTTACATGTTGGGGAACTGTTGGATACCAGTTTTCATTGAACAGACATTTGTTGAGGGTTCATTATGTGCTAGGCAGTGTTATAAGTGCTTTAAGTGCAGTATCGATCATATTTAATACCCATAGAAGCCCTATGGGGGAAGGTACCATTTTATTCCCATTTTGTAGATGAGAACAAAACCTTGGTAGTAAGAAATACAATTAAAAAAATAAAACACAAATCTGTCTAAGCAGGAAGGTTTCTGGGCATGGCAGCAGGGAGAAAATTAGAAGTAGCCTTAGACCAGCACCCAGTCATTACCTTCAGCCACAACTGTGGTATAACCTTGGTCCACGCACAGAGTCGTTATGGACCATAGTTTTCTCATGAGTAAAATGAAGATGTTTTTACTGAAGAGTTTCCAACATTTTCTTCACCTCAATGAACCTGGTGTTTTTAAAATTTTTATGTTACCGCATTTAGTATAATAGTAACAGCCTGCTTCTGTTTTGTTAATCAAAGACATACATAAATGCTTATTGGAGCTTCTGTTCTGAGACATGCAGGATGCCCACTGAGTTGATTAAAACTAGTCCACAGCTAAGAAGAAAGGCAACTTCTGTAGCCTTATAGGGAGGCCTGCCATTCCAATAGCCTTTCCAATAGGGACTGAAGAAACCAGCATCCTGTAGTTTGCCAGTGACACTGTGTTGGAAGCTCTGGATTAGACGAGGCCTAAGAACTATTGCTGCTCTTTAAAAGTGGTTTCGTGAGGACCCTGAGAGGAAAGAGCTGGTACTTCCTTTAAGGGAGAGGCTTGGATTAGGTGATACTTAAGGTGCCTTCCTCTTCTAACATTTTGTCTTGAATAACACACCCTTCAATGGAATGAAGAACATTCAGACCAACACCAGCTTTCTGTCACTCTATTTGGAGAAAAGTCGGAGACAGTTGACACAGGAGGAGCAGGTAGTTGTCTGGCTGAGAGGAAGACAAATGTCAAACCAAGAGTTTCCCGTAATTTGCAGCCAGTTAGTGAGATCTCTAAAAACCATGTGTTGTCCTGAGATGAAGTTCAGGCCGTGGCAGTGGCTTCCCAGGCTTAAACTATGGTAGCAGTCCATTTGAAACCACAACTTTCAAATTCTTCTGTGAAGAAAGATCTGGGCTTGAAGTTAAAGACTTGAGTGTACATTAGTATGTACTAATTCCAGTTTCATTCTCACATGCTTGAAGAAATAAAAAGATTAATATTCAGGTTTTAAAAAACTGAGGTTAAGAGAATAGTTATGTTTATCACTTTGGTGCCTCATGTTAATGCCTTTGAAAAGGTGAATTTATAAAAAACAAATACTAAGAAAAATCCTGACTCCATTTGACTTCTCACAAATTAAAACTTGTTGGTTTTTTGCTTTTTGTGTTTCCTGCTCTTCTCACTCCCCTTCCTTGTGCCCAAAGAAAAGCAATTATAGGGCAAATGGAGACATTTGTCATATAATGTAATAACTATTTATATTATGATTCCATTCCAGTTTCATCTGAAGATAGTTTTTTTTCCCCATATGAGGGGGCCATGTCAGTTTTCAGGAGGAACATTGGTGAAATATTTCTATGTTGGGAGTTAGGTTCTGCTAAGATTTGAGGTGTATGTGTGTTTTATTTTTAGCATATTCTGTAAGTAGGTTTAAGCACTACCTGCCCTTTTCTGATGTTTTGACTGAGGATTTTTTTTTTTAACTGTATATATGACTCAACTGTTTAACTTAAATATATACTTACATTAAGGAACACTGACGACAAAAATACTACAAAGGAAATAATTGAGCTTATAATTAAAGTAGGTGACATGCAGCTGTCCTTTTTATACTAGATACGTAGTTCTAAAATTAGATTAATTGAATATTTATAAATCAACTGGGATTTAAAGTAATCTAAGGAATGTGTCTCATTGATTAAGGGAACCCTGACTTTCTGAACCATTTGGTAATATAAATAATTATTGCCTCCTGTAGCATTTTAGTGGTTTGGGCACAACTGTCCAGAAATATACTGTTCTCTAGAAGTCAGGTTAATTGAAAGGATAAGGGAGCCTGCTGAGGATGGCAGCAAGTGAAGAACAATTATACCCTGCCAGGCTTAGAAACCTGTCTTTCCATAGTAAGGATGGCATTCAGGGTTGATCCCACAGATACTCCTCTGTCCTTGGGGGATGCAGGCCTCGGATAGGCTACAATTCCAGATCTTTCTCCCAATCTGATTCAGGCTTTAGAGAAAGGATTATAGGTTATGGAGCACCTAGGTTATGGAGCACCTTCCAGGGTAGGGACATATTAAATACTTCAGCCTCAAGTAGAAGTAGTAGCTTTCCTTAGGCAGGTATTGTTCCTTTTTGACCAAATGAATGATTATTGTTAGTTTTTTAAATAAATTCCTAGAAACTCTGTTTCATTTCCTGGATTGCATTGTAAGGGTATTGTTATGGTTGTTCTAATTTTTAAATTTTTATTTATTTATTTATTTTTGAGACTGGATTATGAGACTGGCTAATTTTTGTATTTTTGGTAGAGACAGGGTTTCACCATGTTGCTCAGGCTGGTCTCAAATTCCTGGCCTCAAGTGATCCTCCTGCCTTGGCCTCCCAAAGTGTAGGGATTACAGGCATGAGCCACAGCACCGGCCTGTTGTTGTTTTGATATGTTTGAGTTTGCCCGCATTTGCTACCAAGAGGTTCTATCCGATTAGAATTAACCAGCAATAACTGGGGCCTCATGAATAAGTGAAACCCACAGAGATGTAGGCAACTTCATAGCATTCAATGTCAGGGCGTAATCAGCGATAGAGTTCAAATAAGCAGTCAGACTGGCTCCGTTTCCTATTTCCCACCCTCAGTTGGATAAGGAGATTGAAACTGAACAGGGAAATGTCTCTAGAATAAGATTGCTAAAGGGAAGAGAGACCTAAGAAATATGTAGCCTTTATAATCAATCTAAAGCTGGAAGATCTGTTCTCTCCAGAAAGGCCATGGGCCAGCTGTGACAACAGTCTTGTAACAATCACTGTCTTTTGCCTAGTTCAGTTGGCCCATGGCTTACTGAACTGACTTGAAGCTAGGCTTGTGGCTTCTTGTGGCTGAATTTCCGGTCCCTTATTTAGGAATGCCTGTGTGCGTTGATTGAAATTTATTCACCTCAGGAGAGAGGTGATAAGAAAGAAGGGCAGCCAGAGGACACCATGAAGCACTGACACCTTGTCTGCATAATCTCATGGATTATGTACATTCCACATCAGCTTCACCTCAAAAGCCAGAGGCCACTCTGGAGAATTCGAGGGAACACACTGTTTGCAACATGCTTTTACTAGTGTGTCTGGAGGTATGAATAGTCAGGACAACCTCCTTTCTTCCATGCTGTCCTAATCTGGTTGAAGACTGAAGGAAAATGCAGAACAAGTTTTCCTCTAACTGGCAGATCCCTTACACAGAATACACTGAGGTATCATATATGAGCCAAATACAAACAAGCTTAATGCCACCTCTTCTTTCTGCCCTCCTTTATTCAGTGAGGGGCAAGAAGATGGTCCCCAACCCAGGGGATGTTAAGGGTTGTAGCACTCAACCCTGTAGCTATGGATATGTTGACTGTGGTGTAGGATAAGGGGGAATTGCAGCCTGTAGCTTCCAGACTGACCCTCATGCTTTATGGGTTCTGTAGAGGGGATGGCAGTGGCACAGGCTGGCAAGGACACCCTGCTATGTCAGGTGGTTTCAAGGGAAGGTCAGAGTGCACCTCCTTTTGTGGTGCTAACTAGCTCTGGCCAGGCTCTTACAAAGATTGGCTGGACTTCCACTGGTGGGCCATACATGCCCAAATAACCGTCTAGTCCTCTTGAATCACAAGCTACACACAAAAGACAAATATTTAAGTGCTGGGGTTACAGTAATAAACATGCAATGTCCCTTATTTCATGGAAAGACAGAGTATAAGCTAATAAATACATAACGTTATATGAAGAAAGAATAAAGCAGGTGGAAGTGGTTGGAGTGTGTTTGTTTAGATAGTGGGATCAAAGAAGGCCTTTCTGAGAAGGTAGTGTTTGATAGAGTACATCAATTATTGGAAGGCATGAGCTTTGCCAAGATCTGGGAGAAGAAGATTGCAGACTGAGGAAACTTGAGGTAGAGTGGGCTGGCATCTTGAGGACAGGAGGGCCAGGTATGGCTGCAGCAGCTGGGCTGGGAGGAAAGTAGAGGAGAGAAGGTCATAGAAGCACTCAAGTCCTTGGAAGGGAGGGGGATTTTATTAATGGAGTAAAGGGAAGCCATTGGAGAGTTTGTTGTTTTTTTTTTTTTTGAGTCGGAGTCTGGCTCTGTCACCCATGCTAGAGTGCAGTGGTGCAGTCTTGGCTCACTGCAACCTCTGCCTCCCGGGTTCAAGCAATTCTCCTGCCTCAGCCTCCCAAGTAGCTGGGACTACAGGTGTGTGCCACCACGCCTGGCTATTTTTTGGATTTTTAGTAGAGACAGGGTTTCACCGTGTTAGCCAGGATGGTCTCGATCTCCTGACCGCATGATCCACTCGCTTGGCCTCTCAAAGTGCTGGGATTACAGGTGTGAGCCATCATGCCTGGCCCTGGAGGGTTTTAAGCAGGTAAATATGTTCTGATTCATGTTTCTGTTTTATGAGACAGAGTCTTACTCTGTCACCCAGGCTGGAGTGCAGTGGCGCGATCTCGGTTCATTGCAACCTCACCTCCCAGGTTCAAGTGATTCTCCTGCCTCAGCCTGCTGAGTAGCTGGGATTACAGGCGTGTGCCACCATGCCCGGCTAATTTTTGTATTTTTGGTAGAGACAGAGTTTCACCATGTTGGCCAGGCTGGTCTCGAACTCCCAACCTCAGATGATCTGCCCACCTTTCAAAGTGGTGGGATTACAGGCGTGAGCCACCGCTCCCGGCCCCAATTCATGTTTTTAAAAGATCTGTTTGCTAACTGAAGAGTAGGTTGTAGGGGTAAATGTGGTGGTGGAGGGCAAATCTGGAAGCAGTGAGACCAGCTAGGTAGAAGGCTATTATAGTCATCCTAGTGCAAGAGGAATGTGGCATGGGTAACAGAGAAGCATTTACTCCTATGTTGAAACTGCAGTATACATTATACTTAAATTGCATCATTTTGCTCTTAAGAGCTCTAGATTTCTAATGATTTAGGAGACAGTCTTAGGACCAAGTGGAAAGAACCTTATTTGAAGAGAGCATTTGATTACAAAGCTCAGGCCCCACCAAAAGGCTGTTTCCTCAGACCATTAACGAAAGGGAACTATTCTATGGGAGTTGATTTAGCCCCTGAAGTAGCACTACTCAGAAGGAGAAGATTGCAGGGAGGGTTCCTTGGAGGCATCCACAAGAAAAGCCCCTCTAGCATTGAGCACATAGGTGGTGAAGAAAAATATGTCTGGAAGTAAACATTCTTATTATAGTTTAGGCTGTTGGGTCTGTGTATCCGAGATTTCATGCTATTCACCTGCTCTGCTAGAATGCAGTCCATTTACAACAATAGGTAAGAATCTCTCCCTTTAGACTCCCAGTATAAAGTTCTCAACTCTAACCATGTTCAGAGACCCCCTAAGAGGCTGTGCAAAGGCAAAACATGGTAAGGCGAATCCAGAGACCTGATCCCCCACCTCTGCTGCTCACTAAATGGGAGCATTTAATGTGTTCTCATGTCTTCTCATTGCAGTTGCTTAGAAACTTCCAGGTTATACACTACATTCCTTGACATTCATCTTTTCTACAGGAGCTGCCAGCCCTTTGATATCTCTTGGACTGCACTTCCCCCTGTGCTGCCCTTGGCCAGAAGTCATTTGCATCTCAGATATGTCCAAAAATGTGTTTCAGCATTGGTTGCTTTGTGTGTTTATAGCCTTGGTTGTGAATTCTCTTTTTGGCTCTAGTGCATGGACACACCATGCAGGAGCACGGTTTGCATTTTTGGTATCCTGTATTTAACAGAGAGCCCCTAGAGGAGCCATCTCCAACCTTTTTGGCAACAGGGACCAGTTTCGTGGGAGAATACTTTTCCACAGGACAGGAATGGGATGAGGGGTGGTTTGGGGATGAAACTCTTCTACCTCAGATCATCATGCATTAGTTAGATTCTCATAATAAGCATGCGACCTAGATCCCTTGCATATGCAGTTCACAGTAGGGTTCATGCTCCTGTGAGAATCTATTGCCACTGCTGATCTGACAAGAGGCAGAGCTCATGTGGTAATGCTCGCCCACCACGCCCACCGCTCACCTCCTGCAGCCCAGTTCCTAGCAGACCATGGACTGATATTAGTCCTCAGCCCCAGGGTTGAGGACCCTTGCTCCAGAGGTTCCTTCTTGTGCTTTTTCCTCACTTTTAACCTGGATTCTTGTATTTGCATCTTGAACTCTCAAATTCTGTAAATTTCTTGATATATTTAGAAACATATGCATTTCATCATAATGTGAAAAGTAAAGATGAATGATTTGACTGTCACAGTTGAATACACTGGCTCCTTGTGTAACTTTGTTGCTTCGTGTGGTGACTGGAGAACCCTTCCTTTTATGGAGTTGTGTTTTGGGAGATGGTGAGCATTCCCAGGATCCTTTCCCCAAGTCTGTCTTCACTTTTCTCCAACTTAATGCTAAGGATATTTATTTCAGGCCAGGACCAGGGACTTGTCTGAGCATATTCAGTGTTATTCCCTACATGGATGTAATTGTTTACTAGCTGTTACTGGTTACTCAGGTCTTCCCCAACTTTGGTGTAGCAAGTTGTTCTAGCTTCATTTCAGGATTTTTAGGAGAAACAACTGACCATTCTTTCCTTAAAGGAGTCGGGTTGCGCGTAAAGTCCATTTCTGTGTGTACCCATAAGTGTTCCTTGTTCCTGTTTCCTGTTGGACAGATGTGGGGTGACACTCTATCTTGAATCCAGAAGAACTTGGGACTTTCATTCCACTTTATTGCAAATCCAAATACAGCAACGACCACAAAAGAAAGTGACCATCATTACTTTCTGGTTTTCTTGTGGCATTTAACATTAACCCTCTGTAATACTGAGAGTTCATATCTCTCTTCTCTCAGTTATGTTGAGTTGTATTATATGTGACATACATATATATTTAGGTATCTATATCTGTCTCCAGCCAAAATTCTCCTTGCTGGAGTTGTGAAGATCATCTTTACATAATCCCACCAGTGAAAACTCAGTATATCCAAAATTGAACACATTCCCACTTCCCTATACAGACTTACTTCTTCTCTAATATTTCTTATCTGAGTAAAGGGCCTCACTATCTCTCCACTTACCAGAAACCTTCACATCATATTCTTGTTTTCCTTGATGAAATGAATCTGCAAAACCTGTTGATTTCATTTCCTAATCTGTTTCTTAGTCCATGTCTTGATTGGATTGCTTCAGTGGCGTTTTTAGTGGTTCTTCTGCTTTCAGTCTTCTTCTTCAGTATTCCACATTACTTACAGAAGATTCTTTCCAAAATACAAATGTGTTTCTGTCACTTCCTTACTGAGCTGGTATTCCCTGTTGCTGTAGATCTATTCTCAGCCCTTCTCTTCCCCGCTTAGTGTCTGGAAGCTAACCTCTGTGGACTGCATTATATGGGCTTCTTTGCCCTCTGTCTTCCTGTTGAGTTTGGCTGATTCAGGGCATTGAGGGGACAGTGGGAAAGACAGGTTGTGGTACCCATGCCTTCACCCTGCCATTCCACAGGAGTCCTGGCAATGGCTGCATTCCTTTAGACTACAGTCCTCCCAGTTCCAGTGACTCCAGTAACATGGGATCCTCCACTTGCCGTTTTGGGACCTGGGCTGCTAAAAGCTTCCTGCTGTTGTTAGTGCCTGGGAACTTCATAGTACCTTATTGTTAGTGCCCTAACCCTGTCCATATCTTTACTGAACTATTTTCAGTTAAATCCATTTAAGTGTCAATAGTTTCTTGCTGAGACTGTTACTTACCTAAAATCCTTCAATGCTTTGCTTTCAAGATGAAGTCCATATGGTATAGTAGTATCCATGGTTTACCACTCCAGGTACAGGTGTTCAAATACCTTCCATCAATGCTCCCTCACTGATATAACAATCCAGTATCTGTAAACTGAATTAATTCTATGATTTACCTCATCTTCATGATTCTGTACACACTTGCTGGTCCTGCCCACCCCCACTCCCACCTCCTAATTTTTGTCTCATTGCCTCTACCTCACCCTTCAGCCCTTTATTCATATTTTTGTCTTTTCTGGGGAGATGCCCATAATTCTTGCTTTCTGCTTCAGAATGGAAGGGGTACCTGTTCTCTGTGTTCTTAGTGCCCTCCAATGTCATAAATATTGACACTTGGGCTATAGTATTTTCTGTCTGTCTCCTCTTTGGTTGGAAATACTGAAGGACTATAACTACCATGTAGGAGAATTTATTGACCATAGAATGTTAAAACTACTACTGTTACCTCCCTGTGAATTTTTTTTTTTTTTTTTTTAAGATTCTGGGCAATTAAAGATTTAGAAAATGTATTCCCTTTTCCATCTCTCAGTTCAAAGGTGTAAAGCTTTGAAGGAAAAAGATTTAATTAGAGCTTCTGCGTCAGACTGTTACTGCTACAATCAAAATTCCCATGTGGAGTGGAAATACATGTGGTCAACTGTGGAGGTAAGGACCTACTTTTAAATCATGTATTAGGGACAGAGAATTACCATGTCCTAGGGACAGGAAATGTACCATTTCAGGAATAGAAACTATTTTTGGTATGATACAGATCTGTGTATCAGTATGAAAGCCGACTTGAGGATCAGACGCAGTGGTTCAATGGGTGGGCAGTGTGAGAGAGGACATTAACTCCTTCATGCTGTCCCTCAGCCCCTCCCAAGCCACTCCCAATGAATATACTATCTAAATGTATGCAGCATGCCTGCAGTTCAGGGACATCTCAAGACAGCATGTTCCTCCTGCTTACCAAAATTGCTATCCAAAGCCTCCAAATAGGAATTCTGGAATAACCACTGATCCCAAATATGGCCAAGATAGCAGTTGCTCTCAGTTGCCTAGTACTTGCCTTCATTCAGCAGTTAACAAATATTTATTGAGCACCTATTAAGTGCCAAGAACTATTTCTAGGCTCCTAGGATAAATCAGTGAACAAAATAAATTCCTGCCATTGTGGATATTTACATTATCCCGGTGTGGAATAGTAAACAATAAATATAACAGAGATGAAAATGGTAAAACTAGTAAGTACTATGAAAAAAGAAAATGTAGAGTAAGATCAGTGGGATGAGAGAAGTGGGAGCAAGTTGGTCAGGGTAGTTCTTGTTGAGAAGGTAACATTTGAGAAAGACTTCAGTGGAGTTACCCAAGAAGGTACCTGGGGGAAGGCTGAGAGAATAGCCAGAACATTGTATCAGGAAGCATTTGATGTTGATTGGGATAATTGCTGATAATATGCACCACTTTGACCACTTGCTTAAGGTAGTGTCTGTCAGGTTCTTCCACTTAAATTACTATTTCCTTCCCTTTAATGAATGTTTTGAGGTGATAATTTGAGACTGTGTAGATAAATTCTTCCTCACGAAACTCTCATCTCTTAGTTTATCATTCATTGATGATGCTTTACTGAATCAATAATCATGTTGATGTTCTATATCTTTTTTTTTTTTTTTTTTTGAGACGGACTCACTCCAGTTTTTTAGGCTTAAGTGCAGTGGTGTGATCTTGGTTCACTGCAGCCTCAACTTCCCTGGCTCAGGTGATTCTCCCACCTCAGCCTTTCAAGTAGCTGGGACTACAGGTGTGCACCACCACACCTGTCTATTTTTTTTTTTGTGTGTGTGTGTGTGTATTTTTAGTAGAGATGTCTTTTTGCCATGTTGCCCATGAATCTACTGAACTCCTGGACTCAAAGCAATCTGCCTGCCATCAGCCTCCCAAAGTGCTGGGATTACAGGTGTGAGCCACCACACCCAGCACCATTATTCCATTTACATTCATTGGCATTCTACTATAAGGAAGAGTTTTTCCTCCTTCCATTTATTTATTTATATCCATATGGTCTCACAAATTGCCAGTTAATGTAGGAGACTACAATCCATTACTCTCATTATTTATTTTGATACTCAAATTGTCCTAGACTTGGCCAGTCAGATGGAGCCCCATCAAACTAGTTCCTGTGTCCTTCTAACATGTGCCTTGCATTTTTGAGCACTACTTTACTTTCTAGCAAACAAGATATTCTAGGCTTGTTGTGTAATTTCCTAGACTCAGCTCTGGAATCATACATTTTTTTTCCAAGGAACAGTCAACATTAGGTGTCTTCATTACTACTGGCATATCGTCATGTGTGTACACACACATACACACCCATACACCTGCACATACATCTATACCTATTAGAAACTGTGAGTTCTGAGATCTCCAGTATGACAGGGTTCATTCTTGTTTTCCAATTTTCATATTTGTAGCTCCCTTCTCTGATAATTAGAAACCTGGTTCCCATTATCCTCAAATATGTTTATTTATTTGCCTAATCCCAGAATACACTAAAAGTGGTTTCAGAATTGCTAAGTCATAACATTACCAAAAACGAACCTAGTAACAGGAGTTCAATATTTATTTATAGTGTTTTTAAAAAAATTTTTTCTGAGGTTGTGTATTTTAGGTTAATTCACCCCCATCTACTATCAGTACGGGGGTGAATTATTCAGTATGGTTACATTATTCATTCAAAATATAGTTTGTTTTTATTTGTTTCCATTTCAGGGTGTTCCTCCATCCTGGTCAATTTGATTATCATTTTTATTGTACATTTGTTTTAGTTTGTTGACAAAACGTCACTGTATAAAATATTTGAAGAGATTTATTCTGAGCCAAATATGAGTGACCAATGGCCTGTGGCACAGCCTGCAAATTCTGAGAACATGTACCTAAGGTGGTCAGGGCACAGCTTGGTTTTATACATTTTAGGGAGACATGAGACATTAATCAAATATATTTAAGGTATAGATTAGTTAGGCCCAGAAAGGCAGGACAACTTGAAGCAGGGAGGGGTGCAGTGTTCCAGGTTATAGGTAGATTTTAAAATTTTCTGATGGGCAGTTGGTTGAAAGAGTTATTAATAGAAAGGAATGTCTGGGTTATGATACGTAATTGTGGAGACCCAAGTTTTATCATAGAGATGAAGCCTCTAGGTAGCAGGCTTCAGAGAGAATAGATTGTAAATGCTTCTTATCAGACCTGAGGTCTGTATTGATATTAAATGCTGGTTGGCTTTTTCTAAATTCCAAAAGGGAGGCTAGTATAACGAGGCATGTCCAACCCCTGCTTCCTGGCATAGCCTGAACCAATTTTTCAGGTTAACTTTGGAGTGCCCTGGTCAAGAAGAAGGTTCAGTTCAGATGGTTGGCAGGGCGGAGGATGTTGGAATTTTATTTTTGGTTTACAAGTTTTGTTTACCTTTTTATTGTCAGACAAGATCATAGTGGGTTTTTTAAATGGTATTTTATTTTTAATTTAAAAAAATCTTTCTGATTTTTAATTTTTTTTAGATTTGGAGGTACATGTGCAGGTTTGTCACATGGATATATTGCATAATGCTGGGGTTTGGGCTCTACAAAACCCATCCCCCAAATAATGACCATAGTACCCAGTTGGTCGATTTTTGACCCTTGCCCCTCTTCCTCCCAACCACCTTTTGAGGTCCCCAGTGTCTATTGTTTCCATCTTTATGTCTGTGTTATTATCATTATTTCTGAGTATCTACAATATTAATATGGCTTGAAAGTTAAAACTCTACCCAAAGGTATTTTCAGAGAGGTGTCACTTTCCTGCCTCCCTCTATTAATTCCTATCTAACCCTTGTAGGCAATCAGTTTGAGTAGTTTCTGGTATATCTTTCCTGTTTTTTTTTGCAAAAGTAATTAGCTGTGCATATTTACATAGATGGTACCTAAAGCCATGAAATTGAGTGAGTTTAGATGGAGAAGAGAAGATGACCGATGGCTAAGCCTGGGTTAGTCTTATATTAAGAACACAGGGAGAAGGAAGGAGCCAGCAGAGGAGAGACAAAAGAAGCAACAGTGAAGAAGGAGATGTCCTGGAAGCCCTGGGGAGACATGTAACGAGGAGAAGGGAATAATGAGCAGTGCCAAATGCTGTTGATAGGTCAAATAAGATGACTGAGAATTAATTGGGCATTTGGGTTAGAAACATGGAAGCGCCAGTGACCTTGTCAGGACAGCCTTTTGGACATGAAAGCCTGATTTAAGTGGATTAAACGGAGAATGGAAAGAGAGGAACTAGAGACTGAAGGCAAGGGAAGCTTTTTAAAGGAATTTTATTGCAACAAGAAGCAATGAAATGGGGGTAACTGGAGGGAAAAGTGGAGTCCATAGAAGGTTGTTTCTTCTTTTTTTAATGTTGTATGCTGATAGAAATGATCTCATAGAGAGGGAAGAAGTATTACTGGGATGTCCTTGAATAGGCAAATATGGACAGGATCCAGTGCCCAAGTTGGGACTTGCCTTTATGGAGCCTGTAAATTTCCTCTGTGGAAGAAATTTCCTCCCCACAGGTAGGAAGCAGAGCATATGCCTGCAGGTGCTGACAGGTAGGTGGCTTTGCACATAGGAGCTGGTGGACATTCACTTCTGATTTCTTCCATTTTCAGTGAAGTAGGAAGGATCAACAGCTGAGAAGAGGATGGGGAGGAAGTGTTGGAGTATTGAGGAAGAAGTTGTGAAATCCTTTGTTGCAGGGGGTAGAAGAATGAATGAATACTAGTAAGTGGTATGAATGACTGCAGCTTTCATGTCCCTCTCCAAGTTCATAGTCATGGATTTGAAGTGAGACCAGTCTGCATTTCTGCAGCACACTGGTGATGCAAATGCAGGAGTAGAAAGCAAGTGGGATGCAGAGGAGTCAAGGGTATGTGCCAGGGAATGGTGTATAATAGTTGATCATGGGATTCAGCTGTCTAAAAAGAGACTGAGGATATCAAGGGGGTAAGGAGCAGGAGAAGGATGTTCAGCTGCTTGGGGGGGTTGGGGCACTAGATTGGTACACTGGAACGATAGGAGATGGTGGTCACACAGTGAGATGTATGAAACACAACGTATGGAGGGGCTGCAGTCTGGTACTGACAAGGTCCGGGGGATGGCCATGGAAGTGATTAGCTGAGGTAGGGAGGACAAGAGCATAAGAGGAAAGGAGTCCCAGGAACTAAGAGGCCAGGATACTGGAAGGATTGGTGTGTATATTATATATACTGAAATCCCCAAGAAGAATGGCAGGAAGTAGTATTGAAGAGAAAGCAACTTGAGCCAGGAGCCAGAAGCCAAAGTCAAAGAGAAATGTGGGAGTTGTAGACAGATAGGTGGGTGATACTATCTGATAGCCTGGGATTCGGAGCTAGTACTCTTACTTCCCTTTTCAGGTTTGCCCTACTCTTAGACAAAGAAGAGGAATAAAGAGAAGGACAGACAAAGGCAGCAGCACAACTGTCATTTAATGACCACTGGGTTGCCAACATTGGCTTGTAGGTAGTGCTTTGTTGAATGATGTGAATAGGACCCAAGGCTGGGATCTGGTCTCTCAGCAGGCATGGTGAGAGAAGCCTGACTTACAAATGCCTACCTGATCCAGAGAAGTGAAGTGCTTTTCCTTAATCACAGTAGAAAATGGTGTCAATCTAAACCCTATTTTCAAACTATGCCTACTCACATCGTTTGCCAACTATTACAAGCATACTTCAGAGATAATGTGATTATGGGTTTGGTTCCAGAACACTGCAATAAAACAAATATCCTCATAAAGCAAGTCACACAAAATTTTTGGTTTCCCAGTACCTATAAAAGTTACATTTACAATATATGTTAGTCTATTAAGGGTGCAGTAGCATTATATTTAAAAAAAAAAAAAAACACCTACATACCTTAATTTAAGAAACACTTTATTGCTAAAAAATGCTGACACACAGACATGAAGTAAGCACATGCTGTTGAAAAAATGGTCCCAGTAGACTTGCTCGACACAGGGTTGCCACATACCTTCCATTTGTAAGAAATGCAGTATCTGCCAAGCACAATGAAGTAAAACAATGAAATGAGTATGTCTATATTTTCTTCTTATTCTTTTTAATGTCTTTTGGCCACAGTAACTTGCTAGAAGAGGGATTTAAATTAACCACAGCTTACAGGGAGAAGCATTCACTTTCAACAATGTCTGTGGTTCAGAGTGTGTGTTTGGATTAAATACAGATCTGTTGAGTCCACCTCTGGGATCAGGACATAGAACACTACCCTGTGAATTGAGCATTCTTTACTCAGCTAACCTTGGGTTCTCTTTACTCCTCTGCTCATGTTTTTAAGAAACCTATAAGAAGTTTTGGCCAGATGCAGTGGCTCACGTCTGTAATTCCAGCACTTTGGAGGCCGAAACAGGCAAATAGCGTTGAGCCCAGGAGTTCGAGACCAGCCTGGGCAACATGGCAAAACCCCATCTCTCCAAAAACACAAAAATTAGCTGGGCGGGTGGCATGTGCCTGTGGTCCCAGCTACTTGGGAGGCTGAGGTAGGAGGGTCACCTGAGCCCTGGAGGCGCAGGTTGCAGTGAACAGGAATCCTGCCACTGCACTTCATTCTGGGCAACAGAGAGAGACCCTATCTCCAAAACAACAAAAAGACAAGTTATTCTATTTATAGATTTGTTTGTTCTTGTTTTATAGGTGAAAATTACCAGTCCAGGCCTGTTCAGAATTGTATATATCACAGAAAAATATAATTGCCAATATCCAGAAACCATACTATCTTTTATCAAATGTGTGATTCATAACTTTTGGACACCAAAGGAGTCTAATGAAATAACCATAATCATCAATCCATACGGGGATACTGTGTGCTTCTCTGTGGAGCCTGAGAGGAAGATATTTAACTATATGATACATGTGAATCGAAACAGTGAGTCTGATATTATTATACTTGACTTTCTGAATTTAGTTTTTCTGGAGTAACTTTTCAATAAATTGACTTTTATCTTTTACCAACATTACATTGATAAAAAATGTTTGTTATGTGTTTGTGTGTCTTTTTTACTCCAGTTGTGGATTTCAAACTCTTCTTTGTGTTTGTGGCAGGAGTTTTTCTTTTCTTTTATGCAAAGACCCTGAGTCAGTAAGTATTCCTTTTTATATTTTTAATTTTGTGAATGAAAAGGGTTTAGGTAAGTTTTTGACTACATGCTAAATATTTTCACACTATTGTGCATTTGTGGTCTTGCTTTAGGTTTTGCAGACAGTAGGTCTGAAGATGATGTTGGAAAAGACTTTGAAAACAGTAACAGTTATTTGTATAGCATGATATGTTTATGTTACAAAGTGCTTTCACATATTTTATGTATTAACATATTTTATTAGATCATGATAATAACTATGCAAGCCCTGTATTATTGTCCTCATTTTACAAATGAGAAAATCAACATCCTTCATCGCACTACTAGTTCTTATAAGGACTGGAGATTTGTTCCCTGGTTTTCTGGTCCGCACACCTTGCTCTGTTACATTAGAGCTGCCTCCTAGATTTACGGCCCTGATACGGAAGGCTGAATATAGCAAATATCTGACTCTTAGAAAAACATATTATCTTTTTCTTATTTATTACTGACATGTTCTCATCTGCAAACCATTATTCTGATGTTTTGTTTCTTGAAATTCTCTCATGAGAAAGAAATATTTTTTCAATATTTTACTTCTTAGCTTGTGGATTGTAGGTTAGTACCCCACACTGGTCAGCTATTCTTAACATTGCTCATTTTGAAGCTTTTCCTTATAGTGTTATCAAGTGTGTTTAATGTCATCTATGAACTTTATAAACCAGATGATGCATACACAGCATGAAGAATAAAGCCTGGACTCCAAGGAGCTGAGCTATAATCCCTAATCCTCCAGTGAGCAGATACTGACTTAGGGAAGATTTTTTAACTTCTTGGTGCCTTAATTTTCTCCTTTCTAAAACCTGGAAAAGCGCCTGCTGCATGATAGGTGTTCAGTAATCATTGTCTGATCATATCCTGAATATGGAAAATAACTCAGACATTCTGTTTTGAGTTAGTGGCAAGCAACTTACCATATTACCATAAAAAATTTCAAATATCCATTTTGTTTTTTAAGAGTAATGAGAAAGTAATGTAATGAGAGCTGCCATCTGAGTTTCTTGTTCTTAGCGTTATTTATGACTGACGTTGCCAGGTTAAACATGTTTTTCATACTGAAAGTGCTGTTTGGTATTTAAATGGCTTTTATCTGTTTATCTTGACAGAAGCCCTACTTTCTATTATTCCTCGGGAACTGTGCTAGGTGTTCTAATGACATTAGTCTTTGTCTTGCTGTTGATGAAAAGATCTATTCCAAAGGTATGCATACTATGTGCAAATGAATAAAAAATGGAAATCATGATCTTACATACATGAAAAATTCATCAAAATTAATCCACATTGTGATAGTTTATAATTTAAACTATGTTTCTTCATTATGTAAACTGGCTTTAAAATGTATCTTTTTCTGGAGTTCCTGATTGTATTTATTACTATATGTAGGCTTAGCTAAGTTTTACGTTTTGGTGATACTTTTTTTGAGACCCTTTTACTTTCTAGGTAATTTGTTTTTCTTAAGTGATAGAAAGCTATTTCTGAAAATGTCTATTTATTGAGCTGGGAATCTCATGATGCTGAACCACTGGGGCCTTAAATAACAGCACTGCTACATCTGGGGATTTTTAAAAATTATTATTAGTTCCACACACCTTGTTTGTTTGTTTGTTTGTTTGAGACAGGGTCTTGCTCTGTTGCCCAGCCTGGAGTTTAGTGGCATGATCTCAGCTCACTGCAACCTCAGCCTCCTGGGTTCAAGTGATCCTCCCGCCTCAGACTGCCCAGTAGCTGGGACTACAGGCACACACCACCATGCCCAGCTAAGTTTTCTATTTTTTGTAGAGAGAGGGTTTCACTGTATTGCCCAGGCTGGTCTTGAACTCCTGAGCTCAAGTGATCCACCTGCCTTGGCCTCCTTAAGTGCTGCAATTATAGGCATGAGCCACTGTGCCTGGCCACACCTTCAGTAAAATAACCCACTGAACTTAGTTGAGGATAAATACATATTTCATGATGGTGGTATTGCAGTTACACTGATTAAAGTTTGCAACAGCAGCATTATTTTGAGATACACTTATTCTTTGTAACAGTGCTTCTACAACTTCAGTGTGCATGCAGACCACATGGAGATCTTGTTCAAATGCGGGTTATGATTCAGCAGTTTGCGGTGGGGCCTACAACTCTGCCATTCCAGCAAGCTCCATGTGATGCCGCTACTGCTGTTTTGTGGACCATATCTTAAGACCCTAGGGAGTTTCTTAAATTGGCTTCAATTCAGTTTGATTTAGGAGTTTCTAATACAAAAGGTTTATTTGTTTGCTTTTATTTTTGTGAGAGTGAAAGAACCAAAAAATATGTCATTTATTTTCTTCCACACACAGTATAGCACCTTTTGGGCTCTAATGGTTGGTTGTTGGTTTGCTTCAGTTTATGTTGTGTACCAGTTGATGGAAGATCTGAAGTGGCTGTGGTATGAAAACAGAACATATATATTAGGTAGGTAAATAGAAAAGCAATATGCTCTGTGATTGGTAAAACTGAGATGTACAACTAGAGCCCTTCTTTTAATAGACGTTTCTCTCCAGTGTCTAAATTTTCATTTTGAACTGAGGAAAGATGCTACTAAAAATAATATTTTGTTTATCTTATTCCCATTGTTGGTGATTTCAGTTCATTTAGATCTCATTTTAGATGATTTCCCTATGACGTATTTCTTAGTTTTCTATAGTAATGATCAAAAGAGAAAAAAAAATGTCTCTTGAATTCACATGCTTCTGAATTGTGGTTAAGCTCTGACCACATCTAACTTGTAATATAAGCGTTTCTCTGAAAAGCAGCTGCTTATTTCTTTCTCTTAAGTATTCAGTAGGAAAGGTGAGAAATCTTAAATATAAATGAATAATGAAAACTTGACTTTTCAGAAACAGATAAGCTAAGAAACCATTTATTTTCCTTGTCTTATGTTATAAAATAAATGCTTTTATTGTTTATTTTAATAAGAAAGTAATGGACAATGAGAAAATTAATTTTCTCCTAACCTTTAGCACCAAATTTCTCACATAAGTTCACTTGCCTCAAAAGCAATTACGTTTTTTGTTTTACTTGAAAATTGTGTCTTTTTAGCTCATTCTTCTTTTTGTGCTACTTTTAAATTACAGATGTCATGGTACGCTCCCCTAAATACTTCGCTATTCATCTCTAAAAAACAAGTGCCTTTTCCATATAATCAGTTAATTATTATCTAAAAAATAATTACATAAAATAATCTATTACCCAGGCCATTTCCCATTCTTAATGGCTTATGTAAACCCTGATATGGTCCAGAACCACATTTAGCATCTGTTTTGTCCTGTAAATTGCTTTTAATCCATAACAATTCCTTTTTCATCAGAGTGATATGCTAAAGAGACCAAGCTTGTCCTATAGAATGTCTACCTTCTAGATTTATCTGATGACCTTTTTATGGTAGAATTTAACATGTTCTTCTCTTCTGCGTATTTTCAGTAAACTGGAAATTAGATCTCAAGGCTTGGTTAGATACAAATTAAACACTTAAGGCAGAATACCTAAGAGGTGATGGGCACTTCACCTTGGATGATACCCAGAGACACAGAATAGCTTATAGTCTCACCATCATAATGATGAGACTGAACATTAGATTCAGAGGGTGACTGCCTCCACTGTAAAATTACCTTTTCCTTTTATGACTAGAAAGTAAAAATAAAAAATAGGATTTGTAACCAATGGTGACATAAAACTGTGACTTCTTCCTGAACAAAACAATCATGATAACGTTTGTCTAATCAGGGCACTGGACTAAAATATAGACAAACATATATTATCATAATGAGTGTACATCCCAAACTATTGCAAAAGTCAGCGTAGTATCTCATGGAAGGAATAACGCCCTATGTGCATTTTCAACCTTATGTCATTGGGAAAAGAAAATAAAAATTACGGTACTCTAATAGTTTTTACCTTTAAGTCAAGGCTCTGCCAGGTTTTTCACATAATGTCTCAAATTTAAATTTATATTGTTTACCTCTTCTACTTTTCCAGGCTATATCTTGATAGTTGGATTTTTCAGCTTTGTTATCTGTTACAAGCATGGGCCCCTTTCAGACGACAGGAGCAGAAGTCTTCTGATGTGGACACTGCGGCTTCTCTCTCTGCTTCTGGTCTATGCTGGTGTGGCCATGCCTCAGTTTGCCTATGCAGCCATAATCCTCCTCATGTCCTCCTGGAGTCTGCATTACCCACTGAGAGCATTCAGTTATATGAGGTGGTATGTATCATTTTTTTCCCCAGCAAATTTGACATTTTGAGCTCTAGTTTTATTATTTGGGGAAGTTTTTGCACGCATCATATTTAATCTCATAATTACATTTAATCTGGAGATTTCTTTCTGAGCAAGATTGGGTGTAGAGGGGAAGACAGCCCCAAACATGTGATCCCATCTCTATGCCTAGTCTTCATTAATCGTTCAGAGGTGTACCACCAATTACCAGGTAATTAGAGCTCACTCAGAATTCCCTAGAGTCCGTGGCAGAAGTACTTGGGCTCTGGGTTACCTAAAATTTCTTCTTTTATTCAACATTTTCTTTAATTAGAGCCAAAGACTGCTTTAGTGGTATCAGCTATGCATATGAGCTATGAGTTAGGAAACAGAAATGAATCATAAATGATTGAAAGGTATTATTTGTATTTAGGACTTTCTTTTCTTTTAGGTTTTAAGTTAAGCCTTACGCCCTTTGAAGTATAAAAAGAAAGGTGAAGTAACCTCTGTTGTCACAGCTTTGTTATGCCTCTCCTCAGTCATCAAGTCTGAGCAGCTGTTTTCATGTCAGGTGCACAGATGGAGATGGTTCTTACCCTTGAGGTATACTTGCTAGACATAGGCATACATGTCTATCTCTTTTAAGTATTAACATGGAAACTTGCCGAGGGACCGAGGGTATATCAAGAAAGCCAGGAGAGCTTTCCTGGAGACATTACTAGGCTGAATCTTAAAGAATGAATAAAAATAACCAGATGAATAAATGTGGAGGGCTTTCCTGATGGAGAAAAAGCCCCATTTGGTACCATCAGGAGGCAGGCAGTGCTGTTAGTGCAGCAAGCAATGTAGGCATGGGCCAGATGCATGGCAGGCCATTGCTAAGCAACCTAGTCCAATCCTGTACACAGTGGGGTTTACAAGAGACATTTTAGTTAGTCCTCTCTGACTGCTGCCTGTACAGCAGTTATCAAACTAGTTGCTTAGGACCCAGACAGAAACTACGGTGAGTGATGCTGAGCAGGGGTAAGGCAGCGGTGACCAGGAGGACTGTGGGAAATTCTGCAAAGCAACCTCATTGAAAATGGGGCTGACACCATTCAGCTTGAGCTGATTTATCTTCTGTGGGAATACGGGTCCTGCATTGCCAGATCTACTGGTTTTCTAGAAAAACTGGAAATGGGAATTAGGATTAGAATGTGAAATCTTAGGATTTTTAAATGTTGGCACTTAAAAATAAAAATAATTAAAAATACATTGCAATCACACCAGAGACCATAAATACTCATTGGCTGGTGGGATGTGGCCCATCTGTCTTCTGGCACAGCAAGTGGATATAAAGGGGAGGTCCCTATGGCAGGAGAACAGTTATCAGACATGACAGTGGTCCAGGCAAGAGATGATAAGGACCTAGGTGAGGACCATGAGAACCAAGGCTGGAAGAGGGAGTGAATAAATGTTCAAGAGGTAAAATGGGCTGTGAGGAAGGACACTATGGTGACTGGTAGTTTATGGAACTGGTAACTGTGTGTGTTGCAATATCACCGGGTTAAAATTGCACCAGTGACAGAACAGGGAGCCCACACAGAAGACGTTGGCAGGGATGAAAGGCAGCAGGGCAGGGTTGGAGGGTTGATGTTGACTGGGTCTCTCTTTGCCCCATCTGCCTGAGGCAGACAGTGACTAGGAACACCAGAGGTCTTCTGTCACTGAGGCTGCCCCAGCCCCCAACATCTTTCAGGTCCCTGGCCCTTTGTCAGGCTTGTGGCCTAAGGAACCTAGGATAGAGTTCCTTCTTCCTTCCCTTTCATCATCCAACTCCCTGCCAAGAGCAAAGTGCATTCTGCACAGTGGTTCTTTTGTGCACTTACTGTGTTCTCTAACAATCAAAATGTACTGTAATTTCCTCAAGTTAAAATTTTGCTAGTGAATAACTATATAAAGAACTAGGGAATGAAACAGGAATTGATGTTGTATAGTACTTTCTAGTTGCAAAGACCTGATTATTTATATTTTAATAACATATGGTAACTACTCTTTTGATTATCCTTATTGAACACTTACTGTAGGCCACTTACTGTGCTAAGCACCCTACACAAAATGTCTCATTTGACCTGTACAGTGACCTATGAAGTAGATGACATAGATATTATTGCTTCCATTTTTATTTTTTTCATATGAGCTAGGTGAGGCTCTTAACTGTTAAGAAATTCCCCAAGTTCATATAGTGAATAAACCTCAAAGCCAGGACTGTGTCCAGGTCTTCTGGATCAGCATCCAGGGTTTTTCCTGCAGGAAAACCATTCATTTGTATTCAGGAAAGGAGAAGGAAATTATTTCACTGGATCCTTAATCTAGTTCATCAACTGTAAGATCTTTAAAATATAATAGATTTCTTTGGTCCCAAACCTCAAGAAAAAACTATATATATATTTAAATATATATTAAATAAATATGATATCCTAATAATTCTGGTGCTCATTTATATTTGGGAATCTCTGGTTAAATTTAAAGCCACCCCAAAATATTTTTAAAAACTCATTCATAAAATTTTTTTAAACCTTATTATTGTTACTATTTTTAGGAGATTCTTAGATTCCTAAATTTTTAGGTTCCTATATTTTATGAGATTTAGGGTTTTCCTGATTGGAAAAAGAAAGTTCTAATAATGATCCACACGGCATGTAATAAGGAAGAATTACTATACATTTTGTACCATATTTGCTCTTTCTCTCTAGGATTAGTCAGAATCACCACCACTAGGTGGAAGTGATATCCCACAAATCCTCCCAGGTTCTTGGTCTGGAGAGTAAATGGTCAATGTTCTAGAGGGTCTGCATAAACGGACATTTCAAAGGCTTGCTTCTGTTAGTACCCAAGAAAATCAACAGGCCAAGCTTAAAAAAAAAAAAAAAAACCAGGTTTTTAATTACCTGACTGTGTGATTAGTAATCACTGAGGAAGAAAAATACAATTAACATCTGTATTAGAAATTGATTCTCAGATGCCTTAGGACATTATTTATGATAGTCCAGAAAATGGGGAAATGTACTATCAGGCCCAAAATACATGTTCTCTATACCTTAGTCATGATAACAGCAATAAAAAAGTATAGATATGATATAGAGGAAGTTAAGAAGTATTATTACAGTTACTAGCTAAGATACGTATTTTTGTAAATCTTAAGGATTGAATTAGGTGGTAATCCTACAACCACATGCCATGTATTTTAGGAGAATGAAGCAGTGGTTTCCATCAGAAGAGCTGGTGGTGAAGTATCTTACAGAAGATGAGTACAGGGAGCAAGCTGATGCTGAAACAAATAGTGCTCTGGAGGAGCTGCGCCGGACCTGCCGAAAACCCGACTTCCCTTCATGGCTGGTCATCTCCAGACTCCACACTCCTGGAAAGTAAGTCCTGCTCTGCTGCTCCGACCATAGTTTAGTTCAGAATGATTTTGGAAATAATATGATGGTTTGGTACAGGCACTTCAGTGTAGAAATAGATTATTTCCCTGGATAACAGATGATGTAGAAGTTGTCAGAGGTCCTTTTCTCAGTACTGTGACTTTGCACAGTAGAACTGCTGATGTCAGAGTAAATATTTATATGATGTTTTATAGGGAAGGCCATAAAGATAACTTCCCTATGGGAAGGGAAGGTGGAATAGGATGTGTGACTGCTTCCATTTCTATTGGTGTGGAAAATCATTTTTAAAGTTTACTAAGAAAGACATCTGTCCCAGCATTTTTCCTTATTGCTTTCTCTTCTTTATAACTTTATCCAGGTAACAGTGCCTTCAAATTAAAGATGGAAGGGGGAAAGTATTTGACACAAAATAATGAATAATATAAATTGAAACTAATAAAAAATAGAGACAAGAAGGAATTAGAAAACAGGAGTGGGTACATTTGGCTCACTTAGTGCTTTTACATCTGCCTGTTTCTCTGCCCTTTCCATGAATAGCTGTCTTAAGAGGGATCACATAAGCCATTCCCATTTTTACACCCACTGTGTAAATGTCACCCTCTATTGATGCGAAGTCAAATTTAATTAAAGGGGAAAAATAGCAAGGGAACATGTTATCTTTCAAATAAACCTTCCTGAGATAACATTAACTTCATTTAAAACAAAAAACTTATTAGATTTGCAGACTTTGTTCTTGGAGGAAGCCACTTGTCACCTGAAGAAATCAGTCTGCATGAAGAGCAGTATGGCCTTGGGGGTGCCTTTCTGGAAGAGCAGCTCTTTAACCCAAGTACTTCCTGACACTCAACCTTCAAGTTGACTTCATTCTGGACAAGGAAATGGGTAAAGGGCAGGGGGTCTGTTAAAGTTAGGCAGAACTGTTCTAGTGAACAGTGGCAAAAACATTTGCTGTGGAGAAAAGTCATTGTAGGAAGGAAAACTAATCCATTTTGAAGATAACTTAGCATTCTTGGGGAGTTCTGCTACTTATGGTACTGTAGGTGGGTATCAAGATTCTATGACAGCCATTACCACTTTCCTTGAATGAAGACTTTCATTAGGAACAGGGGAATGATGTTCTTCGAAGGGCTAGTAAGCACAAGCAGGTGCTTTGTTGAGACCAGGGCACTCACGCCACTCTTAATCCCCTGAACCTGTGCCAAAGAACTCTGAAATACTCTTCCTATATTTCATCAGTATAAGTCCAAAAAGAGACCTGAGACATGCTGGACCAGTTGTTTTCCAGAATACAGCTCAGAGGATACTACTAAGTGTTAGTCAGTAAAGGTATTCTGAGGTCAACTAAGATTGATACGAAGTTAAACTAATGTTCCTCAGGACGTCTCAGAGGCATTATTCATGCTCATGTGCACTGTGAATCTCCCAAAGGGGAGAAATTATGCAGTTTCTTGCTTAATTTGACCACAGAACTCTTTCATGAGATTAACATTCTTTGGAACACTTGTTTGGAAAATGCTAATGGTGGTGGAATTGAGCTCTGGAGAGGTTAAATAACATGTGCAAGACCACATTGAGAGACAGCACTGGGAGAAATCCAGCCCTGGTGTATCCTTTGACTCAGGTAGACAGGATCTTCAGGAACAAGCTTAGGAGCCATCTCCCTACAGCCACAGGCCTCACAATGTTGGTGACTTGACTTTTTATTTTTCAGTAATGGCCAACTTGCTATTTAACTGTGATAAAGGGAAACGTTTCTTAAGATATTTTAAAGTTTTTTATACATAGATTTTTATATACATATGTAAGGATTAGATACTATGATTACTTTCTTTTTTCGTATTTTGAAATTGAAGGCATTTAACCTCTTGTGACATTTTGAATTGAATTTGAATTTTAAAAAATTGTTTAGCTGTATATGTTTATAACAATTTCTTACAAAACAATTTTTTTCTTGATTTATGATATTAAAATCTGGAGTGGAATGATGGGCTAACTGTGAGCTTTGGCCCCGAGGAAAGAAGGCCAAAACATAGATCTAAGAAAAGATTTGAATATGGCAAGACATTCTCGAGGTTAAGATGTTGCTAAATTGATTCTGAGAATCCAAATTAGGCTTTTTTGCTGTGATGGGGTCATAAAAATAATCTTTTTATTAGGACAAGGGTTATGGGGGAAGGATAGACAGAATTTTGGCACTGCTGCTTTCCTGAGCCAAATTTAGTAGAGTTTTTCTGTCATGAAAAAAGAACATGGCTACCCATCTGGAATTTTCTAGACTGATTTTCAAATGATAGTTCCTCTTTGAAGTAGTAGGTCAGTATTTACGCGTCTGTTTTTGCCAGACATCTTTTCATACTAGGAACTTTTATTTTTTGTAATATTCACTAATGTTAATCTGTGCCTTTACATAGACTTTGATTTTAAAAAACCAAAGGATATATTTCCCATTCAGATTTATGGTAACTATTTTATGAGTAAACAGAAGTTTGAACATTTTTCCTATGGTTTAAAATGATTTTTTAAATAATTATATTTATTGGTGATATAAATGTAGCAGATGTATCAATGCCTGTGCTCACCAAGTTCATCTCCTAAGAGGAAGCTTGTGTGGTACAAAATAAGCATATGATTAAATAACACATGAACAATCTGCTGGGGCTGCTGGGTACGTCCCAGCCAGGACAACCACTGGGCCAGGGGAAGAGGTACTGCTGAGGCAAGGAAGCAGCTCCTCGTGGGCAGCTAGCCAGGTGTAACCATCACAGTAAAAACAGCCAAAGGGAGAAGAACAACAGCAGTCCTTCAGGATATTGTTTTCCATGTTTATTTTTAGAGGAAATCATAGGTTTGTCAGTTTCTGCTTTGTGACTACTATGACAAGTTAAACAATTAAAAGCATTACTTGTGATATTTTTAGTGTATTTATATTGTTTTCATTTGATTTGCGGTATAGTATAGTACTGATCACAATTCTAATCCCCATCAAGCAATGTACAGATAACTTGTGAGAAATCTTTCCCTCCTTTCTCTCCTCCCTTCCCTTCTCTATGTCCCTCATCTCTTCTCTCCTTCTTCCTTTTTAAAGGCCTTTGAACAGTTTAAATGACCACTCAATAAAATGGCTCTGCCCTTCCCAAGTGGTTGGAAGTTGGCTTTGTGCTTCACATACCACAGGTGTACAATTATGGAGCCTAACAGATCCCTTTGTTATGTTATTGCTTATGTTTGGTGCCTACAAAAACTTACTGTTGTTAGCAAGTTGGACGGTTGACACCAGATGTGTGGGTGAGATACAGTGTAGGTGGCCACGCTTAAACAATCATATCATTCAAGTGTTGTTTTTAAAAGGTTTTAAAACACATTTTACATATCACAAAAAATGCTTTGTGAATTAGTTATATGGTTTGCCAGTAATACTTAGGGCTGAATTACAGGGGAATGTCCATCTGACGGGAAAGACAATATTTCCATTTATGACTTTTTTTTTAAATCTGAAAATTTTAGATATTTAGATTTTAAGAGGTTTGGAATAGATGATGGATTACATCAAAATATCTAAATATGTGGGAGAATTAAGATCCTGAAATGATGTCAACTAAAGAAATAGTCTCTTACATTATTCTGTATGTGGTTGTTCCCCAAAGTTAGAGATGTACAAATTTATAAATTAGCTTTTCTTGTCCAGCTGAAAGCAAGATCCTAGGCATAGGTAATATAATGCATGTGGAAGTTTGAAGAAGCCTGCGGGAAGACAGAGAGGTACTTTTAGATGACAACACTGGCAAGCTGCCTTCTGAGAGAGAGCCTGTTGGGTGGCATGACATTGAAGAGTAAACTGTTTGGGTGTGACTGTTACCCTTATTGACTCAGAACCCTGCTTTTTGTTATTGCACCGTAAGACCTGTCTCCTGTGAACCAATTCATATAGTTGGTACAGGTAGTGATTCACAACCAAAAATATAACTAGTATAAGGATAAAAACACTTGAATTTATATGACTCGCAGATTCTCTCTCAGACGACAGATTTACAAGGGATCAAATTATAAGGTGGCTGCTTGGTGAACTGAAACAAAACAAAGGGAGCTTGTTATTTAATTCACATGGTTAATGTCATGAAGCCAAAGAGTTTAATACAGATGCCACCCCCACTCCCACCCTAATGGGGCTAGCCTTGCTAATGGGATGAGATACCAACCCGTTGACAAAGACCATCCCTTCTTTTATGCAGGTCCTGCCCACAGTTTCCTCTCTGTGACTGTTGTTTTTCTAATCTTCATTAATGACCAATATCCCACCCCCTCTGATGGGAATATTTTTACTCAGATATGTTAAAATCTTCTCTGGCCTAGGAGTTGGATTATCTTTTCAAGGTAACTGTATATTTCTGTTATGATTCCTGAATGTGATACCTTAGTAGGTCACCAGAGATTTAAAATGAGTATTATATTTATGTAAGAAAATCTTGGATAGTGGGTAGCTTCTCTTTATTATTTAAATAATTTTGGGAATCTGATTTTTTTTTTAGATTTGGTCCTTTTTCCAAAAAAGACTAATTAAAAAGAGAAAGGGGAAGAAGACCAACATTTATTAGAGATCCATCAGGCACTATATGAGGCACCTTCTATACCTCTTAATTTGCACCTCATGACCACTTTGTGATATGTTTTGGTATTTTCATTTTACAGATGAGGACAGACCCTGAGGTAGGAGAAGGTTGCTGAAGGACACATGTAGCTAAAGTGGTAGAATCAGAATTTAGGCTCCTATGTGTCTGCTTCCAGGGCTCATGTTCTACTTCCTTTATTGCCATCTTTTTAAGAAAATTAAGGAAACAGCCCCATGGATAATGCATTCAAGAGGTGACTACATCTGCTGATGTTACACGCATACCAGTCATTTGTGTTCCGCAGCTATGGACACTGTAGTCTGTGGCCCTTGTCAGTGCTTCTCAGGCTGTCTGGGGTGATGGACCAGTTTCCCTGTAGTTCATCACAAGTAATACTTTTGAAAGATACACTAAATTATTAGAAAAATGAAATAGTCTTTAAAAGACACATAGAATATAAGCATGATGATCATAATGTCATGACAATGTCAGCTTGCCATACATATTTTGAAATGTTTAATTTCTGTGTTGTTGTCACATACCAGCAGTAGTTTGACGGCACCAGTCCTTGAGCACACTTTGAGTAGCACTGGTCTACATGTTATTTTTCTAAGATGCCAGTGATCTGTTCAGGAAACAAAAAAAATCCTGACGTTTTTCAAATGTAAGTTTATAATTTAAAAGAATAGCATCTTCCACTGACTGTTGGAGAGAGTATGGTATGTAATTTGTTAAATGATTATAAAATTATTGTTTACTTTTGCTGACACCTTGAAGAAGAAAAGGAAAATGAAAATTATGGAACTTATAACCTCTCTCTGCAAACTTTTCACTTTATGGAATATGATTGTTGCCATTTTTTTCCATCCTCTTCAACTTATGTTTTCCTTTATTTTATCTCTTAACTAACTCATATCCGCAACCACTTAATATTTACAACGCATGTTGGAAATGAATGCCGTGTTGTACAGCTTATTAGATAGAGGTAAATATGTATAGTATGGCACTGTAGGTTGAGATAATAGAATATGATAATAGATTTAAATGGCAATAAAGTAATAGCGCTACACCCTGGTTGGGGAAATGAGACAGCACTCCTCCTGCCCCGGGCTTTTTGCTACACAACAGTGGCAGTATTTATGGAGCACACACTATGTGTCACATAACTCATTTTAAACATCAAAACTGTAATGTACATAGTGTAATCACTTCAGTTTTACAGAGGAGGGTCCTGAGGCCCTGATATGTTTTATGTGAGTGTAACTTCTCACTGGCAGAGCTGGGACTCAAATGCAAACAGTGTGACTGCAGAGCCCACACTCCTAACACTGTAAGGTCCCTTGGGTTGTCATCTAAAAACTGTGACTTTCCTGGAGCCATAGTTGGAGGCAAGTGGTCCTGTATTAGCTGCCCGAAGCAGATGGCAGCTGGTTGAGAGTTAGATACCTAGCTGGACTAGCACTAAGCTAGACTGGCTCACTTTTCCACTATGTTAGATATCAGCAAGTTTCCAGTTACTCCCTTATAACAAGCCAGTTTGTCCTGGCATAACGTAAATTACTTTCTGAGATCTGACAAACCACTCCCCCTTTCACCCCTTTTCTGTCCCCACCTAGGCACCAGTCTGTCACCCAATGCTCCATGGTTTGGAATTCTTAAGCCAGATATTCTCAAAGCTTTACTAAACAAGCCCAGGAGTGGTTTGGGGCTTCAAAAGTAGCCTTTGTCTTGTCTCCATGCACTTTCATCACCTCTTTCTTACCTATAGTCACTGTCAAAGCATACCCTCATCTTTTTACAGAATAATAATCTTCATCTCTAACCCCTCACACTGAAGCTGAGTAAAATGGCCCAGAGATCTCCCCAAGGTGATCTCTTCCTTTATACCCTTGCTGTCCAATATGGTAGCCATGAGCCATGTGTGGCTGTTTAAAATTAGAAACCTAATTCCCCAGAAAATTAGCTACATTTCAGTTAATAGCCACATGTGGCTTATGGCTACTGTACTAGACAGGGCAAATAGAGAACTTTCCATCTTCTCAGTAAGTCCTGCTGGACAGTGCTATTCTATGATGCTGTTGCCTTGGATACAGAGCTGTGGGTGTGTCCTCTTTCCCTTCCTGATTCCCATGGCTCTGGCCAGAGTCTGTACCAACCTCTGGGTTTCCTGTGCAGAGTTATCAATCCAGCCAACTCACCTCCAGAGTATAAAGGGTCTGGAGTTCCTACAATTCACAAAGCATCAAGAATTTGAAGGATTTCTAGGAATCTAGGAATATCTAGAAATCCTAAATGGAAATATAACCACATACATACACATATCAGGTATGTATGGTAATGGTTTAGGCTAGGCTGTTTTATGGCTTCCTCTACCACAACAGATGCAGGGAATGGCCTCCTGGCCTCCTGGGGTGGGGGAAGATACTAAGTGGACCAGGGCTTTGACACTACGAAAATCTGAGTTTGAATCCTGGCTTTGTGATCTTGAGCTCATAACTTAAACTAAGCTTCAGAATCCTCTTATTTAAAATGGGGATAGTGATATGTACACCTCCAGTTTTTGTTAAGGGCAAAATGATCATCTCATTAGCACACTATAGGCACCCAATATCCACAGCTGTGGTTACCTTTTCCTAGATTCACTGCTTACCTCCAAATTGGCTGAGAGGAATACTGCCTAAGTAATGGTGTCAGTACTACCAGCAGTCCCCACCTCAGCAGTACTGGAAGGAATTGCCAGTCAGAGCGAAGCTATTAGCCAACTATCCACTTCATGTGACCCGTGGCAGGATTAATAAGCCATTAAAGCAGCATTGCTCTTCCTGTGAATTCCTTAACACTTTTCATAAGGTTTAGTGCCTGCTGGACAATGTATTATAATCTATTCTTAAGACTTGAGGAGTAGTTTAATAATTAGCAATTAACTTCTTTGAATCCACACAAGCTCAGCACTTGGGTAATTTACTGTTTCTACAACCATAGGAGAAAGAGTAGGAAGTAAGTCATTAAGGCAGTGATTACCAGCCTGGGCTCTGTGACACCCCTGCGTGTGTTGAGGGACCTCAAGAACAAAATCTCAAATAAAAATTTAATTTGAATTCACTTTAATATTTTAAAGTAGCATATGGCACTTTGGGGACAGGAAGAAAAAGTCGGTCACAAAGTACACAAACCCATGAAGGTGTCAGCTCACAAGGCTGGAAATGACTGCATTATCAATTCTGCTGTCACAGTAAATGTTCCATAACAAAGGCATGTTGAATTTGGTCTCATTCATTACAGAGTAAAGGACTTTTGTTTGGTTACATCTTTGTCATTTAAGAAACATTTAAAAATGGTATTTATTTTTATTTCAACATGTCAACTGTGCATTTCCAAAAGAGCAGGCTTTTCAAAGGAATAAATCAGAACTGTAAACACAAGATATAGTTAAGTTTTTGACTTCCTACAGTCAGTTTCACAAATCCACATACTGTACATTCATAGGTGAGGTTCAGCCTGTCACCCATTTCTTTATTTCTATAATTACACAAGTGTAATAAATACATCTGATTTTAAAGGTCACTTAAAATGAGTCATAATTTACAGTACAGTACATTTCAGTTCAAGTGCAAAAAATAACGATTTGCTGAATTCTACTTCTTTCAGTTATTTTATTTTTAAGCTGTGTTTTGTGGTGAAGCTAGACATCCAAGTGTAGAATTTCTTGTCCCAACTGCAGTATTGGGCAGAACTATGGTGTCATGGAGAAGCCCTCACTTTACAGTTGATCCTGTCTAATCAGGGTCAGAGGGTAAGGTGAGTTGCTCATTTCTAATTCTTGTTTTTTTCTTTCCTCTCTCCTGTGCTCATCCACAGCTATTACATAAATTATATAATTCACCTTTATTCAGCTAAAACTGTGTCCCCTTTCCACACTCCCCCCAGGTTTCCTATTTCCTCTGCTTTGACTTTAAGCAGCAAGCTTTATGTGTGACCCACCCAGCCATTGTTCTGGCTGCTTTTGTAACATTTGCAGTTGCATACACTACATTGTCCAGTGTCTGACTGTGTCTTCATGAGAAGGAGTATACTGAGATTTCTTTCTTTAGTCATTGGAAAGTATAGTTGCTCCTTATTGCCATCTTTCCCGTTCATGGTTTCCTATTTACCACCTTTTCTCACCAAAAACAAAACAACTGACCCAATATGTAATTTCTAAAAATTGTATCCCTCCCCCAGGCACTTAAATCTTATACTGTTATTTGTAAATAGTACTGCTTAGTTAAAGGAACTCTTAGGAATTCAGTGATTTTTGTGTGTGTTTCATTCCCTCAGCTAATTACAGCCTGAATCACTATAAGATAGTAAATAGCGAGAGAGGCTATTTACAGTATCAATATATTTAGTAAACTCTTGTCTATCAAGCCACAGGATACTGAGTTGGTTGGTTGATTTGAAATAATCCTTCGTTTCCGTTTTTTTTTTTTTTTTTCTCAAAGCCCATTCAAAACAAAAGGCATTTTTAAGCTCAGCTTAGCTTGCAGTAGTCAATAATAACTCTGTTGCTCTAAGAATTATTTCCATTATATACCATACACATACAAAAATATATTTGCTAAAGATATGTAAAGTTTCTGTTGAAACTTTTAACTTCATTTTTTAACTTTTAACTTTATTTTTAACAAAAGCACATGTGCTACTAACTTTTATCTGGTTACTTTTAAAATATATCTTGTAATTTTAAAAATGGTTCTTTTCAAGAAAAACAAAAGTATAGATGAGTTCTATTTCTTCCCAGTTTGTATTAAGAACCAAATAATTAGAATTAATAATCAGAAGAGGGAGATTATATCAACATTCACCTCAAAACACTTTCATTCCCTCCACTTAGTGTAACTGCTGGTTTCAACTCTTACTGCACTGGCAGAGAAATTCTATCATCCTTAACCAACCAAAGAACTGAAAGCCCTCACTGAACTCCATTTCCCTGTTGTAATTCCAATGCGGATTATGGAAGTTTACCTTTTCCTGCCAATATGTACTGTAGCTCCTGTGTGTGTGTTTCCATGTTAATGAGTTTAGATATTTAGAAGCATATGCAGTGCTGTGCTCCTCCAGGGGAGGTGTATCCTGGCTAGGGGGCCTCACCCTGTCCTGGCTGAGGAGCCTGATTCCATGCAGGGTGTGAGATGAGCAGGACACCCTCAGTGTTCTCCCACGGCCGGCTGAGCCTGCTGCTCTTCACTCTCCTCTGTGCGTGGGTCCACACTGGGGTGAGCAGGGCTGGTCTGTGTCTGAGATGCTGCTGTGTCAGGGGATGGCTGGTTTCTAGATGGGTCAGAGTGAGTCTCGCATGGGACAGGCTGGGCTCTACCAGCAGGAGAATTTTCACTATTCTCATTGGTCCCCTGGAGGTAAAAAGCAGGAGATGCATCATGATCAGTGATAGCAAATAAATCCAACTTTTTATATACGCTTTCAAATAAGATAGGAAACTTGGGGAGATCATCCGGAAGTGCCCATATCAGGGACCAAGTAATAGAGGAATAAGGATAGAATGTCTTACCTTTCATCTCCTTTCCTATGTGCAACTGCCAGAGCCGCATGAAAAACACAAACACTATAAGCAGATGTGTCTTGTGGAAAAGGAACATTACTATCAAAATGCCTGTTACTACTAGGCAAACAATTTACATCAGCAAATATTTACTGAAACCCTCGCCCCCCGCTCCCCGCCACAGGCCATGTGGCAAGTCGCTGGGCAAGCACTATGGAATAACTGAAACTCAGGCCGCCTGCTAAGACCACAGAATCCAAGAGCCAGAAGACACTTTGTCTAACAGGAAGTAAGGAAGGGGTTCTCATCCTTGGAGGCAGAGCTGGGAAAGAATATCCTGTAATTAAGAGTCCCAATGTATATCTGATATTTCAAAATGTGCACCAAAGGTTAGATAAGACAGCCACATAAAAAAGTGAATGTAAACAAACACTTGTGTAACCAACTGTAAGTAACCATGAGTATAACATCACCAGCAGCAATTTCTATAAATGCCATATTGGTTGTACAAATAAGAAAAAAAATTTAAATGGATTCTCCCCGAAATTAGTACCCATCACTTTTTAGCTGAGCACCCCCCCAAAAATTTTCATTTCTGTGATTCAACAAGGTAAGAAAAAGAAACTTAGTATAATGACTTCTAAGAATAACTACAGCATACTTGCCAGTTTTATTAATCCTAACATACCAGAAAAATATTTAATTTGGCTTAAGCCTAATAGGCTTCTGTGAAAATGAGGATGAGTACACAAAGTAATGAAAATATTGCTACTCAAGCAGCAGATAATAAAATTACCCTTTCTCCTTCTTTGTCTTCCTGCTTTAAGGTATTAAAATCCTGTATATGCTCCTCCCACTCCAACGTCTAGTTCTTGCCTGAGCATTGAGTTTATTATCTTGATAAATAAATAGGATCATGCATGGACTTGCATGCATATGGTTATCAATAAAGAACCAGATTTGGTTAAAATTTCACAAAGATTTTATGTTAGCTTATAAGATTTTCTGAAAGGGGAATAACTCAAATTACCCTTATTTTTAAATCTTTCTCCTTTATTTTTTTAATGTGTCCTCTGAAGCTACTCTAGACAGAGCTGACATGACTTATCAAGTAAAAGGGAGTGATTGTTATAAAACAGGCGAACTGGGTCTCTTTCTTTGGCTAAACAATCTAGGGAAGTTACACTCATTTTCCAAAGTGAGGATACACCTGTAAATTATCCACACTTTTATCAACATGATTTACTCAGGAAAGATCTTACTTTACTCAGTAGAGACCACTCCTCTGGGGACATGAAAATCACACTTTTAGACTTATTTTTCAGATGACGTCACCTGCACAATGATAATTCCACTGAGTTAAGTGTCCTATTATACCCATATAGTGGCTCATATTAATTTAACAAATATTCATTGTTGTCCTATAATATATAATGCCTTCACTAGAATTTTGGAATTATAGAGATTAATAAATATGGTTCCCAAAGGTATGAAACATATATTTTCCTTTCAACTGGCAACTATCAACACTGAAATTTAAAAGAAATATACAAGGAAAGAATGGATTTATTTATTATTTTGAAGAAGTGAAAGAATCATATCCTTTGAAGTTTTCCTGAACTCTGTTAAGGCAGAATATTCTCTCTATGGGACCTTGTATACACCCTCTTTAACTCAGTGCTCTCAGAGTACTGAAACTGTTTGCATGTCTATTCCCCCACCAGACTTTCAATAATTCTTGTTGAATGAAAAGTGAGTAATTAAAACAACTAAGCCCAGTTAAGGCATCTTGAGTGACAGGTAATATTGCTAGCCCAGCAGAGGAACTATACCTGTAAAGGCTGTATCTCAGAAGCACGGTTGTCTCTTGTGAGTTGCATCATCTCTTTAATTTGGTAGAGTGCATAGACAAAGGTCACCCAGGGAGAAGAGCTGACTCCCCAGGCTGGTTTGTTCACATCTTCCTGTTCTTCCTGGTGCTTCGTTTTCTTGGGTGGAAGTCTGGGCTCAATGCGTGGCATGACATCTTCTGTCTGTTGCTGTACCAAGTCAATGGTTGCTATAGGGACGGGACTAGAGGGAACAGGAATCCTTTCTGCCAACATTGTCTTGTCTGGAGAGAAAATAATGTGTAAACTATTTTTCAGCATTTTCTACATATTTAAACAAAAGTAAAAATAAATAAATAGACCAAGAATCCCATAAGCCCATTCCAGAGTGCTTGGTAATACTAATAAATTGTTGGTTAAGTATGACTTCATAACTTGGTGCAAGCACCGAATCAATGAACATGATGTTTATCTTTGGGTCTCCTTATCAGGCTTAATAGACATTAACATATTTATTTAAGAAATCTATTTTTAATCTAACTTAGAACATCAGTGGGGCAGAGGTTATAATGAGTATGGTCTTAGGCCCATTTAAGGATTATGATTTAGAAGACAGGCATCAAAACAGGAAAAGCCACACGATAGGGTTTTTTTTTTCCTTTTAATTTTTATTTTGTGGCTGGGCACGGTGGCTCATGCCTATAATCCCAGCACTTTGGGAGCCTGAGGCGGGTGGATCACGAGGTCAAGAGACGCAGAGCATCCTGGCCAACATGGTGAAACCCCGTCTCTACTAAAAATACAAAAAATTAGCTGGATGTGGTGGTGCATGCCTGTAGTCCCAGTTACTCGGGAGGCTAAGGCAGGATAATTGGTTGAACCCGGGAGGCAGAGGTTGTAGTGAGCCAAGATCACACCACTGCACTCCGACCTGGCAACAGAGTAAGACTCTTGTCTCAAAAAATAAATAAAAAAATTATTTGCATAGGTTTTTGGGGAATAGGTGATATTTGGTTACATGGGTAAGTTATTTAGTGGTGATTTGTGAGATTTTTGGTGCACCCATCACCTAAGCAGTATACACGGAACCCAATTTGCAGTCTTTTATCCCTCACCCACTTCCTACTCTTTCCTCTGAGTCCCCAAAGTCCACTGTATTATTCTAATGCCTTCCTTTGCATCCTCATAGCTTAGCTCCCCCTTATGAGTGAGAATATACGATGTTTGGTTTTCCATTCCTGAGTTGCTTCCCTTAGAATATGGTCTCCAATCCCATCCAGGTTGCTGTGAATGCCATCACTTCATTCCTTTTTATGGTTGAGTAGCATACCACTACTCAACCATATTTTCTTTATCCACTCATTGATTGATGGGCATTTGGGCTGGTTCCTCATGTTTACAATTGTGAATTGTGCTGCTATAAAATGTGTGTGCAAGTATCTTTTTCGTATAATGACTTCTTTTCCTCTGGGTAGATAATCCAGTAGTGGGACTGCTGAATCAAATGGTAGTTCTACTTTTAGTTCTTAAGGAATCTCCACACTGCTTTCCATAGTGGTTGTACTAGTTTACATTCCCACCAGCAGTGTAAAAGTGTTTCCTTTTCACCACATCCATGCCAACATCTATTATTTTTCGACTGTTTGATAATGGCCATTCTTGTGGGAGTAAGGTGATATCACATTGTGGTTTTGATTTGCATTTGCCTGATCACTAGTGATGCTGAGCATTTTTTCTTTTTTTGGCCATTTGTGTATATTTGTTTGAGAACTATCTCTTCCTGTCCTTAGTCCACTTTTTTTTTCTTGCTAATTTGTTTGAATTCCTTGTAGATTCTGGATATTAGTCCTTTGTTGGATGTATAGACTGAATATTTTCTCCAGCTCTGTGGGTTGTCTGTTTACTCTGCTGACTGTTCCTTTTGCTGTGCAAATGCTCTTTAGTTTAATTAAGTCCCATTGATTTATTTTTGTTTTTGTTGCATTTCCTTTTAGGTTCTTGGTCATGAAATCTTTGCTGAAGCCAATGTCCAGAAGGA